ACAGGTTTTTGACTTTGGAAGAAATAAGGTCTTAATGTATATTTGTTATATACATATCATTTTATACACAGTATCAGAGTCTATCTGCTCCTACAGTAAAGTTACTAGAATCAGCTGAAGTATCAACTGCAATTCAAAACTTCTAGAAATATGAACAAAACCCCAAGGAAACCTGGAAAAGGAGTTAGAGATTGACTCCTTTCCCTAGAAACAACCCCCCCTGGTTTCTTCCACTCAGGAAAGACACTGCAGCAAGCAAAGCCATGCTGGCAGCCTATGGAGTCCTCACAAATAGGAAACGTTTGCTGTAAGTGAATCAACAGATCTAAATGAGGGATGTTTGTGTTACAGTCTTGACTGACAGTGAACTTCCACCCCTCTCTGCTCACCAGGAGGTTAGCAAGAGCCAGTAAGAGTTACCACCACATAAAAATCACACCAAGAGATATATTTAGTCATTGCGGTTCAAGGAAAACGATTGCTTGCACTGAAAATAAATTTTGCAATTGTTCCCAGTTTCTGCTTTTTCACTGACTAAGGCACATCCCAGCTGCTTCACATTCCAGTAGCCTTCAGCTGTCTTTTTTTTTCTCCAGTCCTTGCCCACTTCCCTCTTACAACTGCTGTGACCATCCCAATCCTGCAGCAGTTATCCCGCAGGCTGCGTTTCGGAACACGCCAGTCCCGAAGCAACACAACACCTGTCAAGCCTATGATGGCTTACAAAGGATGGCAAATTCTCTTTGTGCCATTTTGTAGAAAAACACACCAGGCAGTGATGTTCTTGCACCTGTATTTTGCCTCTCCACAAAACCAGACTGAATTGCTGATGCTGTTTAAACAAGTTACAATAAAACACACACGGCATGTCACTTTGGGAGCAATGTATTGTAAGAAACAGTAGGTGCTAAAAGCCCAAGTAAGGAAGATTTGGAAATGAATTGTCTTTAAGGTTGTGAGGTGAGTCTTTAAAGGGGTTTAATTCTCAGACTACAAGACAAGAAATTTAATATTTTAAACTTTGTTTGAAAGCCACCAGTAGAGCAGCACTTAAACCAGTTAACTGCAAAACTTTTCACCTGAAAGCCTCACTTACACTGAGGAACACGGTACAGTGGTGAGTGCACAAAAGAGTTCTGCCTAGTAACTCACCTAAGCATGACAGACAAAGAGAAACTGCAGAAAATTGTACAGGTGTAAAAACTATGCAGGCTAATTTCCATAGAATGATCCAAGAGACGATGACAGTTCAAAATATATCCTCCACAAAAACAAGATCCCCAGGAAACTTCACGTTAATACAAAAACATTTGCAGATGCACAATTCAGAATCACATAAACTGGCCTGGAGGACTCTGGATGAGCATTAAGTTCCTATAAAGATGGGAATAATCTGACCTCCTGAATTGTGTCTGCTATTTTTGCCATTTTCCTTAAGAACAGAGTTCTTCTGGGATTAGCCCTAGATGTTTATCCCACCAATACTAAAGGATGAGAATTTGAGGTGAATTTGCTTATCAGGCAAGTGCTTATAAGTAAAAGGTGAAGCCAACAGCATTTTTGGTCTACTGGGAATAAATACATCCAGTTGAATCCTGAGCAGAATAGAGATGACTGCCTGCACTCCAGGTAACTAAGACTCAAAACAGTTATTTTAAACAACCTTTAGCAGATAGCTGTTGGAAAAACAAGTTCACAAGGGATATGAAAACCCTGCAAGAAATTACAAGATTAAGACTGAAACCCCCAAGTAGAGTAAACCTTCAAAGTATGGCACCCATATGTTCTTTGGTTTTAATAAAGGGCATTCTTGAAGGGACCTGCTTCACCAAGAGCTTCAGGTTCAGACCTGATGTTGTCTAACTGCTCCCTTATTCTCCCTGAACGATGCAGAATAGTTCAATTCCCTGGAGCACGTAATCCATCAGGTAAATAAATACAGGAATTCATGCATTGCCATGGTAACAGGAAACCCAAGCAGAATCTGTGACCTTCTCCGCTCTTTCTTGGCATCCCTATTCTGGATTTCACATCAAAAGAGTGAGAGCAAATATTTCCTGAAAGTGAAGGCAAAAAGTCACAGTTCTAGAGTGTAGAAAAGCCAACAGCCATTCCTTCTCTTGAAGTCAATGAGGGTTGTGCTTTGGAAAAGTATTTGGAAGTCTCCTGGCTGGAGCCTAACAAAACAGGGGTTCTAACACTTGTTAAACCAAAATATACCGTCTTATTCTACGTTACCAGATGGCTGCCCTTCACTCCAAAGCAGAGCTCTGAATTGCTCTACAGTGACCCTTCTGTTGATTAAACAGCAGCACTGAGAGGCTCCAGAGGGAGCCTTGTCTGCTGTTTCTTCATGGACGGGATGGTAGCTGCTATCTCTAATCATTTATTATTGTCTTTTATTGAGTGCCAACAAGGTGTTTCAGTTAAGGACCCAGGGAGCAGATGGATGCAAGATTTCTGGGGGTCTAACCCCTGTAAGGGATAATATATTTTTCCCAGCACCCTTTCTAGATGGACACATGAGTCAAACCAAAGCCAAGCCCATTCCAAAGTTTGCCACAATGGCTTGTGATCAGGCAGGAGCCTATTTTATTTACAACATAATGCGTTTTGCATGAATTTCTGCTCCCATAAGAAAAACAAATTCAAATGTACACAAACACACAGACCTTAGACCTCACAGCATTTGTTCCATGACTCCCTATCCTTTGTTCTGCTACTGTACACATTTTGACAAACAGTATCCCAGAATTACTGTGGTATTCCAGCCTGTGTTTATTTGGTGACGCTGTTAACAAACTGTTTGTGTCAATCAGGAGTTCAAACACTCAGAAACAGCGATGGGGATGGGGACGATCCTGCACCGGAACAGCTGGCTCCCAGCTCTCCCTCCCTGCCTCTTCTCCTCCCATTTATATTTGGACTGGATTTTTTTTTTTAAATATCCTTTTTAAAGAAATGAAAGTACAAGCAGTTGAAAGAGGACAGACTCCCAGATTTACAGTTTCTCTTGTTCAGCAAATCATCACTACGACAGACGCCCACTAGAACAAATGCCTCCACACTGAGGCTGCACCCACTGCATCTTCCAGCTGTACACTCACAGCACTGACCTGGGGACAGATCCTGCACGATCCTGGAGTTTTTCAGTGGGAGCTCAGCATGTCTGGTCTCTAAGTTGAGCAGCGGATGATTTTTATACAGTATTTTATTGGTATTACATGGCATTTTATAGCGTATTTATATTTATACTGTGTTTTTTGGCCTTTCTGTTCTACTGTTTATGGAACCACTCTGCATTTGTGTGTGTCTACAGAGTCATCCTCCTGTGCTTGAACTCTCCACGCTGCCTCACCAGTGTGCAGTTGTATTTACTATTCTCACAGGGTTATTTACTGCGCACGAGTAAACAAAACGTGATCACTTATTTATACGTCTGTAATTACTGTCTACAGTTACTAAATCCCAAGCCAAATTCACCTCCAGCATAAACAAGTGGCAATTACTCCTGGGCTGCCCCCAGGTCTGTGTACTCTGCTAACACCTTCCTTACTCAGTGGAGTAAGGGATGAGAGGAGGCAGGGAAGCATGGAAAAGCACGGGAAAGAACAGCCAGAATCCCAGAGCAAAAACCCGCAGCCAGAGCAAAGCGCTACATCGTGATACAATGTAAGGGATCGTGCATCAGATTAACCTGAGATATTTCTGGAGTAACATTTGTCCCGTGACGCGATGCACACTTGTTAGACAGTAACTCAGCGCGAAGAGCTGGAAACATGCCTATGTTCTCCAGGGAGAAGGCGGCTGCCAGGGAGCCAGGCTGCTCATCCCCCGAGGCCGCTCCAGAACCCGCATCATTGGAGAACACACTCACACACGGTGCAGCGCAGGAGCCAGAGCAAACCCGGGTGGAATGATCAAAACCGGAACGCGCTGCTACCGACTCCGCTCCTCGGAAACAGGAGTCTTTCCTACATCCGTGGCTGCTGTCCTGGAAAGCCTGAACACTGCGCTTCCCGCATCCCGACTCGGGCTGCTGCCCTGCCTTCCCCAGAAGGAAGCTGCCTAGCTATTCCTTACAATAAAAATACAAAACAGCATTGATTTTTCTCTGCTAATTAAATGCAACATAATTAAACTACGTAACTTCGCTGCTTGATTTGCACAACGCTAATTGAATCTTCTTAAACGTACTACTCCCACTACGGAGAAAAACATGGGCATTCAACCATCTAAAGTGACAACTGAGAACCAGGCACGACTCCAGAAGCACAGAGAGACAATATGATCCGTGCTTGAGCGTTTCCTTGTGAGAGCAGGAGGAATCTCAGCAGCCTCCCCTGGCTCTCATGAGCACCCCAAGCAGAGGGGAGAGTTTAGCAAGGAAGAGGGAAAAAATGAGCAAGTCCCCGCTGACATTTGCCTACAGACTCGTCTTTTCTCATCCTCCACAAACACCAGAGGAGGAAAGTTGGAAGAAGTTGATATTAATCATTGCGTGTAGGCCCCAAAAGCGCTGCAGCGCCCGGCTGCACTGATGCTCGGCTGCACGGGGAGGACGGAAGGGGTGCAGGAACGTAAAAATTAAAGTAAAAGAATTAGGAAAAAATAGGAAAAAAATAGGAAAGCTGGGGGGGGAAGGAAAACGCGGAGAAGACACAAAGCCTGACCCGGGCAGCGCAGGACCAGCCCCGCGGGGGGACGGGCTGAGCATCCCCCGCGGCTCCCCGGGCCCGGCCGCGTTCCGGGCCGCGCTCCCCGCCCGCTCTGACAGAACCCCCGGGGGGAGCCCCGCCGGGGATGGGGGGCCCTGCCCGGCTCCCCCAGCCCCGCCGGGCCGCGCCAGGCCCGCGGCACCTCCGGCAGCTCCGAACCTCCGGCGGCTCCGGCAGCTCCGGCAGCTCCGGCAGCTCGGCGGGGCGAGCGCGGCCGCCCCCCGGCCGGTCCCCCCCTCCCGGCTCCGCTCCGTCCCCGCGGGGGCCTCCCCGGCCGCTCACCTGCTTTCTCGATCTTGCCGGACATGTCGGAGCCGGCGCTCGGCGCTCGGGCCCGGCGGCGCTCGGGGGGCCGGGCCGGGCAGGGGCTTTGCCGGGCTCCCGCGGCTGCCGGGCGCGGTGCGGGAGCGGCTCCGGCGGCGGCCGCGGTGCAGC